TTAATTTTTCTATCGAGAAAAAGTTATATCGCGATACATATCGTTATCGTTCTATCGCCCAGCTCTAAATCTGTCCAATGGAAATGAAGCTGTATAGTGCACAGAGCACTGTTACTGCATTCAAGTGATTCAGTGTTGTTTCTAAACAGTCTTGATGTTTCAGCTCTGAGAGAACAGCTGACACAACCAGCGACACAAGCAGCGCGTGGACTTCACTGAAGCCATTACGACTCAATCGCTCATGTTCGACTCACCACTTCAAAGTTGCCAGGTGCAACAATCAGGTTGTCGATCACATTGTTGATCTTTGTGACCAGGGACAGGATGGAAGACTGACGGACAACGAACAAGGCTTGTGTAAGTGAACTTAAACAGCAGGTCAGGTGCACAGCTACTGGGTGAGTGCAGGCTCACGGACTGACCTGCTCCGCAGGGGTGGGGCTCAGGTCCTGGTTCCTTTTCAGCAGACACTCACTGAAAGCCGTCTCATCAGGTGCAGGCTTCACTCTGGGGAAGGCCATCTCACACTTGTGACAAACAACAGTCTGCTTGAGTACTTGCCTTTAGAACCACTCTATACTACTATTATACACTGACTGCTGGGTGACGTCTTGCTGCTTAGTAATTTGCTGAAGTGTCTAATTCCCACCACCACCCATACTTACCACATAAAAGTCGAATGGGATGTGTGGGACAAATGGCCGGTACCTAAACAAAAATAAGGTTTCGTTAACGTTTGGTCCAACAGCATTGCAGCTGCAGGGTCTGTATCTCTGGCTACACAGCAGTGTTAGCGGTTTTCATTCCAGTTCCCGGGGTTGGCAGTTAAAGCACAACATTCAAGATTTCATAGTTCTGTTGTCTGAGAACAGGAACAGAAAAATGAAGCGTAGAGATTTCAGCATTTACATTCTGACACATTGGTCTGGACAGGAGCACCGTACAGCGTGTGTGATGATGGTGCTGTTGGAGCAGCAGTATGCGGGACTGCAGAGAACTCACCCCTGGACCAGTCCCCCGCGGGCCCCGAAGCGGCCGCCTCGGCCTCTGCCGCGGTCTCCTCTGGACACAAACACAACACAGCTGACGTTAGCGCGTGCACGAGCCACGTTTGGCGACTGAGCCAACATGTAACGATGCTGTGATGTAATGACTTAATGTAGAGAGACTAATGCACCACATCAGCGCTGCTTCACTGAGCGTCCCAGCAGGGTAGCTATTAGCCAACGCGATGGATGCTAACATATGTGCACTACTGTAGCCTTCCCTACACCGAGAGAGCTCCTGCAACACTCCTCGGACTTTTGAATTCATTGAAAGAAAAAAGGAAACAGCGAGCTTTCAGACAATACACGCCACTGGCTTTAAATGACGAAGCCACTAACTGGCTGTGTCAGGCACTCAGAGCTAGCTTGTAGCACAGGTACGAGGTAAGAACTCAAAGACTTGATAGTACTCGACTTAAAACACATTGGCCAACGCGCTACACTCGGATACCTCATTGCGTACGACGTTTTGATTATTGTGCGTGGAAAATCTCAGAGAATTGTTGAACGTCCCTCTGTGGACCGGCTCCTCGCTGCTGCCTGTTAGTCGTCGGCTTCTTCTGTTAAATGGGCGGCACACTAAGCTCAACACTGCCCTCCACAGGACATCTTTAGAATCACACTGCGGCTGGGATTCTAACAACGTAGACCACAGGTGTCGAACTCCAGGCCTCGAGGGCCGGTGTCCTGCAGGCTTTAGATGTTTAGAGGTTTGACTCCCTATGAAGGAGCGTCCAATATGCTTACAGCCTCTACACCCTGAGGTTTGCTTTGCTTGCTTTGTGATCTGTTGTCTTGCTGTTCTGTGTAATGTCATGTACTGTTTTGCTGTTCATATGACTCTGTTTAATAAACTGTTTCCAGAATAATCTTTTCCAGAGGATCTTTTTGATTTTAATGGGATCTAAAAAGCAGGATCTGCACATCATTGGCTGGATAAGGTTTTCATGTTGGCTTCAAAATTTGCAACCCAACAAGTGCACCATCACCTACACCACTGCCGGGGAATCGTATGCTTTCCTCCAGCGCACAGCAGAATAAAACCACCAGTTCATTGACTGGATGAGGTCCTTAGCCCAACAGTATGTGGAAGGCAAGAAAGTCTGGGTCCTCCAAGGACAGTCCTCTCAAATGCATGTCAAAGAAACTGGACCCACATTACTCGGGATCGCTTTTCATTGAAGAAATCATTAACTCTGTGGCTGTGTGCCCCAAATTGCCGACCTCCATGAGAATACATTCCATGTATATCAGTTGAAGCCAGTATCTTCCAGCCAGTTGTGACTCCAGTCTACATGTCAAATATCTTTGGGCAAAACACTAACCCCACGTTCTCTGACACATCCACTGGAGTATGAATGTGTGTGAATGTTATATAAACAGCACTTATGTATCCATATAGAAAAATGTACACGTATGAGTTGGTGTGAATGAGGCAAATTAAAAGCACTTTGATAGCTCAGAGTTAAAAGTGCTAAATAATAACCAGTCCATTTACCATCTGATGTTCCTTAGTGAGCTGTGCAGTTGTCATGGAACTGAAGATGTTCAAATATTCGTTCCTTTTAGCCTTTGAAAATCTGTTGTGACTTAGTCATATGATTTTTTTATTAATAATTTATGTCTTTCTGTAATTTATACAGAAATTGCTCATGCTCGCAGCTTTCTAAAGTGACATATCAAATATTACTTTCATATGTAAAGTTATTACAAGAAAAGGTGAGATGGAGTATGAATTACAAACTCTGTGTAAGCAGTAATCTAATCAAAATGAAGCTAACACCTGTGAGACTTCATCAGAGGGGCAAATATTACAGTTGATGCTATCGTGCCAAAATAACTCAACACAGAAAAATGCCTAAATGTGTTGTGTATTTTATAGCATCTCACACCTTTGAACCTGTGCAAAGACTGATGCTGCTCAAGTGAAACGTCTCTGCTCTGAGGCATTGTGGGAAATGGAGTTATTCAGTTAGTGCGATTTAATTGCGCTGGATTTAAGTTTTGGAAGCGAGACAGCAAAGGTAAGACAGAATTCATGCTAATGTTTGAAGAGTGGCGGAGCCAGGAAGGTGTCAGTGAGGGGCCAGGACGGAGCTGTAATCGTTTCAGGTTGGCAGACATGTTTCAAATAAAATACACGGCTATTTCAGCACCGAAACCACAGACCTGTACAATGTTTGAATGCAGGTAGTGGTGGAGAAGATAAAATAATATTTGGTATAGCAAACTTTTTTCCATATTTGTGTGGATAAAGTAACAAAGAAGCTTATGCTGTACTAATGTGGCCCCGTTCACAGATTATTCTGTGTAATACTGCTAAATTATTACTGAATTATTACTTGAATCTTTACTGAAGCGCTGAGTTAAATGTCACTTTTTAGTTAATTTTTTAATTATATTCCACATATTAATGCAATAAATTTAATGTTGGCCATATTGTTGTTACATTATGTCACAGGAGTATGATGGACACTAGTCTCATAAACTACATGAGCTAATTGGAACTTTTTTCACTGTCCAGCTTGTTTTTCACCATAAGCAACATTCAGCTCTCCACACAAACATGAATTTAATTACACATAATCACACAAAGATAAAACAAAGCTTGACTTTATTTAGCAGAATCGTGGCCTCATGTGTGCATGCTGAGGAAGATTTACAATGATCTCAAAATTACATAGAAAAAAAAGACAAAGCTGTGGTTAATATTGCATTAATATACAACCTGCAGACTCGACAGAACAACCCCGCGAAACAAAAATATTAGTAACAATTCAACATCTCAAGCTAATCTTTAGTGACTGGTGAGAGCGATTTATCTGTGCAGCAGTAATTTTATTTTCAGTGAGATTAAAACTTTCATACATTCATTTACAGTTAATTCTATATTATAGTGTTTTGAACAGAGGACTAAGAAGCCACACATGAAAGCAGTGTCAGGTAGATTTGATCTGCTAAGCTAACTGTGGAGATACACGTATCTGTTCTGTGCATTTAACGAGTTCAACTGCTCGGGTTTTATGAAAACCTCATCTTATTCCCTAATTTGCCAAAAACAATGAACAATTATGAGACTGTTATATTTTTGGAGATATTTCTCTCTTTGAGTTCTCATTGGAGAACATTTCAGTGCACAAGTAAGTCAGAGGCTTACACGCCAGCAGCTGATGAGAGAAACCCTGAGTTACAAGCAGGAGTGCTGGGGCAGGCGAACAGTGTGACAGAGGGGGCTAAAGCCGCTGCTTTTATAATATTGACCAATTCTGTTCTTTATATTTCACAACTTCATTAATTTACTAAGTCATGTAAAGTTTTGATATTGACAGAAGTATAAATGGCATACTACGGCGCAGTAATGCTGTGTAAATGATGAATGAGCCACTTGTTAATACCTTAATAAGGCTTAATAGTGTGACATTATTATAAAGTGCTACCATGTCAACGTTCGTAATAAAACTGTTCCATCATAGTTTACTGTAGGGACAGCAGCACTAACACTGATGCTGTGATCACAACATGCCAGAAACTTGTTAAACATTCACATTTATTTTCCAACATAACATACAGAATATGCTTCCCTGCTGACACTCAGCCGTCTCTTGTGACTGACATGACACCACTGTGAGCTCTGTGCGCTGAGCTCAGGGTTCTGCGGTTTCTATTGGCTCCACCTGGGGCTCAGTGGGTGGGGTGGAGATGTCCTCTACCTGCTCTGAGTCAGGTTCTGTCACAACTACAGCCACCTGCTGACACGAAGAGAGCAGTCCGGTGTCAGTGTATGTATCAGCATACTGTAGGTAATAAATGAGAGGGTTAAAGGGCACGAGGTGAAAACCCTCGAGGTTCAAATCTGATGTGACGATCATAAATCAGATTCTTATTCCAGATCAGTAAAGGCACCGACAGCAGGCTGTAAACAAATCACACTTTTCTACTCTGAGCACTCAAAGTGTGTTTCATGCATGTGCATATATAAGTATATATATATATATATGCACATGCACAGATTACATTCATGCAAACACTCACACACCGATTATGCATCGAAATCTGGAAGTCATTCTTAATGCTCTCACCAGAAGCAGGATCATTCAGTCACAGGTGCCACCTTGTATTACACGCAGGTGTTGTGTTACCTGAGTTGGCTCAGCAGCAGCTCGAGCAGACTGAACGGCCTGAACAGTCTCCACAGCTGGGACAGGTGGGGGGCGAGTTTGCGGATAGACGGGTCCCTCACTGGGAGTCTGTGCGACACATTCACACATTTACGTAGATTTGACATGTTGCTCTCTGAACAGGCCAACTTTAAACAGCTCCGTGGAATCTGATGTTTCATCCTGTTTCTAAAGTCAACCAGATGTTACCACAAAGATTTCTCTGCGGTTTCACCTGCTGCAGCACACGCATACATCTCTGTTGTGATGCTGTGGCATGCACGAGTCTTCATTTCATCAGAGTCAAACCACAACAATGACATGATGCTAAATTTATTCACAGATTTAAGGAGAAAACCAGGTAAGTTATCGAACTAAAGGCAAATGCTCTAACATGAATGCATATTTATCAGCTCTGTAACTTTTTAGTGGGTGCATTCTTGTTCAGTTAGGTTTTAATGCAGGGGTGGGGACCTCCAGGCCTCGGGGGCCGGTGTCCTGCAGCTTTAGATCTCACCCTGGGTCAAAACACCTGAATCAAAGGATTAGTTCATTAGCAGGCCTCTGGAGAACTTCAGGACATGTTGAGGAGGTCATTGAGCCGTTTAAACCAGCTGTGATGGATCGAGGACACATCTAAAGCCTTGAAGCCTGGAGGTCCCCTCTCCTGCTTTAAGGTATCAAGGCTTACCTGGCTGCCACCAGCAGCTAGGACGCTGAGTCCAAACAGCATGGCAGTGATGCAGATTAGCAGCTCAAGCACCAGGAATATAACCAGTGTTCCCAGAATCCCATCAATCAATAGCTAGAGAAACATGAGAGAGACGTGTGTGAACATATATGATCAGAAAACCATGTTTGTTTCAGTGACAGTGATTGTTCTCACAAAAACAACAAATCTTTTGTCTGACCCAAATATATGTCTATCTTCTACATGCACACTTCAAAGACACGACTTCCAAAATATTAGTTATAACAACAGTCTGTCACTTACTTTACACTTTTGCTCGATCAGCCCGGTGCATTTCCTGAAACAATGTTGCTGCAGTGGACAGTAAAGACAAAGAAACATAGTCTCCTTTTTAAAAATGTGCAGGGTCAACTATGAAGTTATGTGATTCTATTAAAGGAAAACTACATTTATACCCTGCTGACAGCTCTGTGCATGCTGCATTACATGCATCATCCGTGTACGTGGCCATGTGACAGTTTTATGTGGTCAAAAATCGACCGTGTAAAAAAGTTGCACTCCCTGTTTTCTACAACACATTCAAAACATTGGAACCACATTCACAGACTGTATCTTTTAACGTGGCGACCCTCTTTGCCGTTCACAACTCAGCAACGTCGTGGTGCAGCTGATTTTGTGACGTGACTCTGCAACATGTAAATGTGTGATGTTTCTGTACTGTCTGTTTCTCAGAAAGAGAGAAATGTT